AATTTATGGAGCTAAAGCTAGGTCAAATGAAAGGATACAAATCCAAAATGTATAGGCCAATTAACTGAAAGATAGTAGAAAAGGTACAGAATGAGAAGGAAGAGAAAGGAAAATAATGAAAGTAAAAGGAAAGACTAAATTGAAGAATAATCAAACCAAAGAACCCCAAAAGAGTTATTGAGCAGTATGAGTAAAACCACATCACTTGCTTTTATGCTTGTTAACAGAGCTAGGTAGTTTAATCAATTACCTATGAGCAGCAATTACATCTATCAGTGTCATATAAACAAATCAATCAATCGAAAGTGTGTGGCAGTACAAGCCATTAGCTCTTTGTTTTCCTTGTATACATACCATAATTTAAGGAACATTGTACTAACATTCTATACTACAGAAAATGTATTTCTAACAGATACCTTCATACACAGAACAACTATATTTCTCTTGAAGTCATGTTATTCTGCCTTAAGACTTGCATGCTACCAGACTTGTGAAATTGACACAAAATTCACATGAATTTGTGCTACTGTGTGATAATGTATCATGCAGCAAAACCCTCCACAAATAGGAATAAAACACACCTACTTGCACAAATGCTCCCTCTACATTCATGCATGAAAATCCTCATTCTTTGACGAGGCAATCAATAAAAATACATCAGGAAGGTGGGAAAGAAGGGTGAGAAAGCATGAGAAGGTGAATACCTATCAGAAATACATTTTCAGTTAAGGAAAATGTTAACATTTAATTCAATGACTCACCTCCATACACAGAACAACCTGAACCCTACTATGAAGTGGTGAAGGGACCCGTGCAGAAATTGCCTAGATAAGTCTCTTTAGGAGAGCACTAAAAAGAAGTCCATAAGGTGTGACACTTTATGGCAGGAGCTCCATAGGGGTACCCCCCATAGGAGACTGCATCTCATCTAAATCAGGGTAATCAAAAATCTTGCACATAAGCCATCAAAAGGCCAATATGTGTAGTGAGGTTGGAGCACACTCAGACTGTACCAAGAGTGCCCAACTCCTTGATCATAAGTCTCTACGGGTCAACAATAGCTGTGGGAGAAGGGCACCTGTGAAAAGTATCTATGCACAGCTCCTCAACTCAGACACTAAGGGCCCACACCAGTCATGGGAGGAGGGCACACCAGTGAACACAATTTAAGAATACTTATAAAACCACCACTCAACCATCAGATTCTACAGGCTCTTCTCCAGCTGTTGAAGTATGGTTAGTGAGTGATACATCACAGTTGGATGTTATGAAATATAAGTAACTTCTCAAGCATAATTGATGAGGTCATGTCAGTGCAGGAGTATGTAAAGGAGAATAGAGAGTAGGTGAGATATGTGTTCCAAATTCACTTGGAGATTGTGATGTATCTAGACATATTGAGGTGGTCTGTACTACACTCCTGTCCCACTTCACAACATAGAGAGACCCTATGTTTTAGCACACTTTCAGATTCTCCATGGTCCACCACTCCAACAACAGGGAGCTGGCAAGAGACAAGGGAATTCAGTCCAGAAAGGTCTTTTACAAGAGACAGTGCAATGGGTGACTGTAAAACCCTATTTTTAAAAGCCAGCAAGTACTAGCCTGAAAAGATAGGCAGAAGCACAACTCTGGTGCTGGCTTTTTCAAGGATAGTCCATGGAATGGGTGCAGTCTGGACCAGACTGGAAAAAAGTTATATATATAAACACCACAAGCAGAATTCCAGTGGTCTTGCAGAACATCGTATCTCACAGTCTGAAAAAAGGGACTCGAGAAAAAGCATAGAAATATCCATTTTCAGAGGAGCATATACAAGACATAAGCAGGCAGATACAATCAGTAATGGGGTAAGCAGAGAGGCCCCAGGCAGAGGAGGTGTCCCAGTTATGAAAGGATAGTGAGAGGTACCACAACAACAAAAAATGCGTCTAAACACAGAGCAGCCTGGACAACACAAGAGCATCTCTCCCAGGGTCATATCTATGGAAAATAGCACCTATAGCAAGCACTGAAATTGTGCCCCTGTCCAAACATCTGACACCCATCTTTTAGATAGCTTTACCATAATATCAGCTCAAAAATACAAGTCAAGCTCATTAATCTTTTAATTAACAAATTATGGCACTACATGAAAATTACAAATGCACCTTCCTTGCTTTCA